TGTAAAACGTGCAATGTTGTAGATTAAAATTAAAATTGCTGAATCTTCAACTTTTTTAAATTGCAAAAAGGGGATTGCATTGCTTCCTTATCTTTGTGAAGTACTTTAAATACAATAAAAATATAGAGTGTACATTACTTTATACAAGTAGTAATAAATAATACTGATTCATATTGTCTTTCATTATAGGGTGTAGTAAGCAGAAAAAATTGTTTGTATTTTGAGTTACATGACTGAATGAATATATTTTTAACTCAGCAAGGTATTATTTTTTGTTGTATATTTTATAAGAATTACACATTATTTAAAAGGTAATATTCATTTATCCATTATTTCTTTTATCTAATTATATAATATGCAACATAACAATTATTTAGTCTACTTCCCATTACATAATTACATTATCCACAATTGTTATACCAGAATATAATTAAATTTTTATTCGAATATCCTCCCATACTTATAAATAACATTAGAATAAATTTTTTTCTAATTTTTGTTTAAATACTACGTTCTATTTTAACCCATTAAGAAGAGTTATGCGAATATTTTTTATTAAGATATAGATATAAACAATATATATGCATTATTTCAATAAGCACATTATAATAAGGAATTATCACATTGACTATTAATATTTTACATATATCTCTATGTATTATTATTGAATACATGATAGATTTGTAGATATACACCATGGAAAGAATAAGCTTTAATTTTCTCCGTTTTACCAAAATTTTTACAGTTTTATTTTTTATTTGGCTAAAAAATTGTCACAAGGATGATGTAAAACTACAATATTTAAAATGTTATCCCTTCTCTAATTAATTTTATTTTTTATATAAATATCATTTCTTATTGTAGAAATGTATATATTTCATAATTATTTTATTTTATTTATTTTTTTTTTTATTACAGAAATCTCTCAATATTTCTTATGATATTTCATATAAATTAGGAAAATCATTTAATTATAGACCAAGTCGATTATTATCGAATTATTACACTTATGACGAATTAATGTGTGATTACGTAGATGATTACAGAATTCGTGAAATGATGAGAAATAACCGAAAGAATAAACAAAGGAAAAGAAAAGAAGACATATATAAAAGCAAGCCTTATGTTCATGGAAAAAAATTAATGGATGAAATTAATGAAACATATAAAATTAAGAAAGGAAAAAATTTTGTTAAAAAAAAATACAAGAAGAACAAGAAAGACCTAAAAATATATATAGTGTTTGGATTACCTCTAATTATAGGTGTATTATCTTCTTTTTATTTTCCTTTAAAATATATTAAAGGTAGTCCAGGTTTACTTTTTTTTATAATAGTATGTTCCATAATATCTTTGTTCCTCCTTATGTACATTTTCCTTTCATATTTGAGACTTCGAAATTTTATAAAGTGATATCCTAGTTTCTATCTTAACTGATAACCCTTATTCATTAAAAAATACATTTAAATAATATATAAAGTGCTCTAGTTGTTTACATGATATCACATATGGAACAACATTTTGGTGAAAATTTAATGTGTTTATAATAAAATATATGATAATGAAAATTTACATGAAACATATCATTATATATAGATATAAATGAAAAAATTATGTCTAACAATGTTAATAATTGTATACATATCTATTATTTCAATGTTATCCATTATATGTGCACTTATAAATATGTCAGTTTTTATAAAAATAACTATTATGAAACATGAACAAAGTTTAATGATATTATGAAGTATTTGAATTCAAATATATATACATTATTATATGAACAATTATCCTATTTATTTGCTACATTAATTATATTATAAAATAGTGTAAAACGTGGAAATTTTTGTAGAAATCAAGTGTTGCCGATTATGAATATATTAATAAATTGTGATAAATTTTATTTCTTTAATTTCATTTTACTTGATTATATATGTTTTTGAAAGAAAAAGACTATAATTTTTATATTTTTAAGAATAAAATTTATGATTTGTTATATTATGGAAAATAATCAATATAATTTTATTATTTGTACCGTTTACTGAGCATATGAATATAAATGTTAAACACACATGTTTAGATATTTCTATCTATAAATCATTTAAATAAAAGTTACTCATATAAGCTTATTTTGATATATTTTAAGCAATATAAGGTTTATACGAAGTAGTAAAACTTTTTAACTGTTTAATGTATTTACAATTACTGCATAAAATATAAAGGACAATATAAAAAATTTTAACAAAAAATAACAAGCCCTAATAAAATTTCGCATATATGTTGTATACACTAAGAAAACAAAAAATATTTAATTAAAAATAGACTTAATAAATGAAGAAAAAAATTTATGGACATGATAAGGAAAAATAAAATATATTTAAATATTTCCTAAACATCATGCAATTATTAGGGACATATTATATCAAATTTAAAAGAATACTATATTATCCTATGTTACAACAGCATTTATATAGATAATAATATTTTATTTATGTTTTAATGCTTCTTTAAAGATTTTATATATTTATTTATTATATGAATTATATGTCATCTTATATTAATTGTTATAAGGAACCTTGAATCACATTTGTAAAAATTTCTTAGTGTTTTAAAAATTATATTTATTTTTTTATATTTTTATTTATAAATTTTAACTCTTTAATGTCTTAAATATGTAAAAAACGAAAAAAAAACTATGTACTAATTTTTTAAAGATATGATTCTGTTTTAATTATATAATGTTTCAATGGTATAACTTTCTTCTCAAAAAAAATAAAAGAACGCCTAATCTTAAAATAATTTATAATGTTATGAATAATAACTAACTTATAAGACGCATATATAAAGAGTAGATACTTATAATAGTAAATATAGATCCTTTATATTATTACATTAAACGTGAAATAGGGTATGAAAACATGTGTAGTATTTTATTTCCCCCCAATAGTAGAAATTTTATTTAAATTACTATAATAATTATTATATTATATAGTTACAAAATTTTTTTCTTTATTTTTTTTTTATATATACCTTTTGAATTATGGCTTGTGTTAATAAAATAATATATTATGCTTTCTTATTTTAGTTTAATTATTATGAAGAAAAAATGTATATTCATTATATTTTTGTATTATATGTTCGTTTAATATTATTATATGTCACTGTGATGCTTTGTTAAGAACGGATGATAACGAATTTATAGTAGTTCAGAGTTACTGTAGTCATAATAAAAAAAAAAAAGGAAACAGCATATTGTACCTTTATTGACAGAACAAATAATCCGTAATTATAACGTACATAAAGAAATATGTATATATTTTGGTTAAAATATAAACAATGAAATATGAAACATATTTATGTTCATAAAGAATTATCTAATTTTATAAAATGTTGGCATTATGATATTATCATTTATATAAAAAAATATTCACATATTTATAACTCATATTTAAGAAATTATTCCCACAAGAATAGAGATTAGATATATAATAATTAATTATGTATGTGTGGAAAAAAATATATAATTAAAGAGTATTAATATGGTGCTAAACATGATATATTTTTAAAATAATATCAATAGATTTTTAAAAGTATGTAATATGTAAAGCTCAATACACACTTGCATTGTAATATAATAATATTTATTCTAAAAGTACTATATTATACACTTCTCTGTACTTCAAGTGGAAAATAGATACGCATATTTTATTATTATAGTATTAATAATTCATCGTACAAGATATATTTTCCAATTACGTTTGTAAAAAATATAATGAATATATTCATTATAAATTCCTAGACACAATAAGGAAAAAAAAATAAAATGACATAATCTATAAAGGATATAATGACTTGAAACATAAGAAGTAGGTATATTACATAAACAAATTATACCTATAATGTAAACATTTATAGAGGAATTTAATAGAGGTAAATATAAATTATTTTATTATCAGAATATATTTTTTTAATCGTTTTATTTCATTATAATAAGAAATTTATATTTATTAATATTTGATGATGCTAAGCTTATAGCATACGTTAAGAGGTAAAAACATATTAATATAAAAAAATATTCAGTATAAATTTTAGAAACAATAAAAAATCATGGAAATAACAAAAATATTTATTTTATTGCTAATACAATATATATAAAAAAAATTAATAATTCTTAAAGATATGTAAATTAGCATAATATAATTAATTACTATTTATATGTATAAATATTCTATTTAGTTCGTGATATACAAAACTAGTTTAAATCATGCTTTAAATATAAAAATACATTACGAAACTAGTGTTTACTGTTTTATATTATTTTAATATTTAAATGTTTTTTTCATATTATACATATATATACACTTAAAAAGAGAGTTCATTGTACATTGAATTAATAACACTAATACATTACAATATATAGAAACTAACGTATAAAAATAATATTCTATATAAATTCTTGGAAATTATATAATTTATTCAAATTGTAAATTTTAATAATTATCACATTAATAAATATTTGCTCAGAAACTCTTAATATATGTAAAACTTTATTGTAAAATATATTAAAAGTTATTTTTGTGATAGTTTGATAACTATAATGAGTGAAAGTAAAGAGGTATGTACATATCTATATTTCTATGTATTCATGAGTTTATATTTTTCATTTCATAATTTTAAAATACAATTATTCGTCTAAAAGAAATAAAAAACAGTTTCTTTAGTAATAATATCACAAATTATTGTTCATAATATAACTTTTGCTTTTAGTGAGGTTTTATGGATATTTTCCCCACATGTAAAAAAAGATTTTAACTGGGTTGAAGTCAAACGGAGTACTGTTGAGGGCAGTAAGTATACACATATTTGCAATATGATTAATAGCCAATTAATCTGCCTTATGGAAGGGTTTGTTTCATTCTGTCAAACGCTTAGTTTTTATTTAAAATATATAGATGAAAAGTTATCTAAAAACAAAGAACCAAGTTGTTAATATTTCAATTACAAGCTAGAAGACTTTCTGAATAAATATAAATGTACTATTAAAAAAGCATATGAGGCTTATAATAAAATGATAAATGCAAGTATTATCAGGGGTAACACAAGTGTATCCCCAATATGCAAAGAACACGTCACTGAGATTAATGATGAAATATTACCTATATTTCTTAATATGAATGGATTATATAGTCATTTTGAAAAATTAAAAGCGGAGATGGTATTTTCTCTTCAGGAAAAGAATGTTTTAATAAATATATTACCCTTTTAAAAATGAATAAAAGCATTCGTAACAATAGGTTTTATGATGCACTTGTAAATTTTTAAAATGAATATAATAAACATATGGAGAAGAAATATAATTGTTCAAATATTCCATAAATATTGTACTCCTATTATGGGGGAGATAAAAGCATGATTTTTTTAACATTATTTGTTTTTAACATTTGTTCTGTCAATAATTATATTAATTATGTATAAAGTTAATAAAAAGCTTAACATAGGAAATGCATATTCTATTGCATTATATATTATACATTATTATCGGAAATTATACTAGCTGAACAACATATGCATAACATTATATTATGTTTCTTATATTTCATTGTACCCCTTATGGATCATATTTTCAACAAAGCGTAAAAAAGTTACAGGGATTGTGGAAAGAAAAAAATATAGAATATATTAATTCAATACAACCATTTGAAAATATCTACAAAAATTTAATTGATGAAAACTATAAAATGACATTTAACCCCTTAAAGAACTATGAATAATTGTAAAAATAATGGATTTTAGATGGATTTTTACAAGTAATATATGTAATTTAATGGATGTTCTATTATAAAAATACAAAAAAAT